ACGGAACTGCAATTCAATGGGATGACAATTCGGCGTCTGAATATAATAATTTAATCGATAGTAAGAAAATTTTTGCCTTGACCTCAAGTTTTTTTTGTAGAAAAAGCAAATTCCGGCTACCTCGTGCTCCGCCTATCAGACGGAAAATGGGACATTGTGCAGACCGGAAGCTACGCGGTTTCCTGTATTGGACAGGATCAGGTTGCTAGTAACTAAAGGTATATGTAAGGTACGATTAAGGGGGCTCCTTGCGACGACGAATGGCTGTACTCGGCCAAGTTGAAGAGTTGCTACAAGGTAAAACCTAAGCCGATGCGCAAATCTTCACGATTTCAGCTTATCGGCAACTTTTCCGGCTTCACCTGGTATGAAGCCCATTTGAGGTGTATGTCACTGGGAGGGCAGTTAACGTCTATTCATTCTGATGAAGAAAATAGGATCGTTGTCGGTATGTCAGGATGACTACATATAAAATGCTTTGTGCGATCCGTTGAACAGCGCCTTTTAGAACTTGCTGATACCTATCTGGGCATCAATTTCGACTGGTACAACTTGACAACGGCTTCGACTTGGGTTGGGGCATACCGAGTAGTTTGAAATGTATGAATTTGGGATCAAAAATAATTTTGAGGATGGCCCCGGACTGTCGGATTTTGCCTGGACTGATGGCACAGCGTTTGACTATGCAAATTGGGCCGCCACGCAACCTGATAATATGAATGGGAGGCAGCCGCGGGTTCATGTGAGTTGAGATAGATTGCTATCATATGTAATTGTTAATGATCTATAATTCAGCTGTGACGTAACAAATGTAATTGGTCAATTTATGTTTATTTCTGCTTTATAATCACAACAGTGGAAAAAGACCGCTTCGCGGCTCTTTTCAACTGAACTCCGTCGAGAAACCATCAATTTGAATACTTTCTTTTTCAGCCTGCGGCGCCAGAACCAACGTTGGGCTAGGATCTCTGCGCGTGCGGCGCTAGTTACTGTTTTTTTCTCCAGGATTTGGCCTTCGGCGCAAGAACCTGGGCCCAGGAACTAATCTTTGGCCTGCGGCGCTAGAGCGGGAGCGTGGCTTAAACCTCGCACACCGAAGGCCGTGAAATGTGTTTTGTTGCCAAACTACCAAAAAGAACAAATTGAATCCACCTAGGATCCGAACTCACGAGATTACATTGCGTAATTAGTCAACGCTTTGAGGAAACGAGGAAACAGGCTGAAACTTTATGCTGCCGTCTTTTTAGATTTACACGACGCACCACATTGAATATGGCCCCAATGATTCGAAATACCTACACAAATGGGACGACATCTATATTGACTCACGGGGCAATAATGCCATTTGCAAGAAGGCTGCGACCTTTTGACATCCGCAGGATTTTTAATAAATTTCTTGTTATCTAATTTCGTGTACCATCCCGATTAGCGCAAATAAAGTTTCTAGTAAATAACTATCATAAAATCTGCTGTTTTTAGCATCAACACGAAAAGCGGAAAATCAATTCAATGAACAAACAGGATTGCAATTCAGCAATTCATTCGAACAGAATTCAGCAATTGCTCATCGGCCAACGCCTTTTCTAATTCCTAGCCAGTTCTTTTTTTGCCTATTACGTGCTAAGCTGTGTCCTCCATAAAGATAAGAAGCCGTTCTTTAGCGGCACCCGGTTTTCTGTAAGGAATTAGTCACCAGCAATCCTGACTTTTCAACAATTCCATGCCGCCCTTCCATTTCCGGGTAGATAACAAGACCGCGCCTTTCTTACAACAATCTCCCCCTACATCGGGCGAAGCGCCGGACCGAAAAAAAGAGTGTTATGGCGGCCTAATCTTTCTGCAGTCCCTGATAAGCACTTTTAAGCCAAGAGAACGCTGGAAATTTGCACGCACATTGATTGCTCGGACTGTTAGAGCAAGATGAAAATTGTGGCTTTGATCACCTTGCTATTCTCATTTACGAAGTCTATTTCCGGTTTTTGTCCTCGAGATTCGATCCGGGATGCATCCGGTCAGAATTGTTATTCCGTTTATCCAACAAAGTTGATGAGGACGGAGGCGATGGATTATTGCTGGAAGTAGGTGAATTTTAGCTAGTGGAATCGATTACGACCGGCAAGACGGTATCAAAAATTTGGTAACACGAAGTATAGACCCGCAAATATGGTGAATTTAGCTTCAACCAGGCCGGTGCTTCCCTACATAACGCTTTTGACAATATGGCCCTGATGGATCAAGCTAGGAAGAAGATTGGAGTAAGCTTTGCTTATGCTTCAAACCAGGTTTAAGTTTAGGCTAGGCTTAGGCTTGGGCTTAGCCGGGCGTCGGCTTGGGCGAAGAAATGCGCAAGCTTGCACGGGCTTGGCATGGGTTAGGCTTAGCCATGGGCTTTGAGTTAGGCTTAGGCCTAGGCTTAGACTTACGCTTAGACTTAGACTTATTAGGCTCAGGCTTAGACCCGGGCTTAGGCTTGTGCTTAGGATTGTTTTTTATTTTATTTTATTTAGCTTGCACGGATTTTCTACCTTTTTAGGACAATACAGCCAGGGTATGGCTTGGCGGGTATTGGAACGGTACCTCCATTAAATGGGATGACAACTCGGCGCCTGAATATAATAATCTTCAAAATCGTAAAAGATTCTGATCCTGCTATAAAAATTCGTCCAGCAAAAGCCAATTCCGGCTACCTGGTGCTCCGATTATCGGATGGAAAATGGGATATTGTGGAGAGTGGTAGCTATGCGACTGCTTGTATTGGACAAGATCCTGTAAAAGCATCAGATTAACGATACCATAAACGTATTCGTAGAAACCGCAACAAGTCTTTCCCTGTGATGACGAGTGGCTGTACTCGGCCAGGTTAAAGAGTTGCTACAAGGTAAGTCGCTTTTTGTAGGGTTTCTTATAGGTTCTTTACCTTTGCATTAGACTTTACATGAAACAGCACAATTTTTATAGTTAATCGGCAACTTCTCGGGCTTCACCTGGCCACAAGCGCATCAGAGGTGTCTATCTCTTGGAGCGGATCTGACGTCAATCCATTCTGATGAAGAGAATCGGATCGTTGTCGGTATGGAATATCCATAAAATTTCTATATTTAATGTAGAATATAATAGCTAACACTTATGACTTGATTCTGGAGAGTTTTATCAATTTTCTGAAAATTCTATTTCAGAAATGGCCGACACCTTCCTCGACATCCAAGACGACTTCTCTAAATGGACCACGGCGTGCACATGGATTGGTGGAAAACGAGTGAGAGATATAATTTTATCGGCATTCTGGATTCCAGACGGGACCCGGAAAGACTGACTTTGTCTGGACGGACGGTACCAAATGGGACTACACAAAATGGGCCGATAATCAACCGGATAATTATGGTCCTGAAGGGCAACCGTGGGTCCAGGTGAGAAAAATGTGGATTACTTAACTTTAATTTTATCTCCTTAGTCTTGCTACTAAATTGTAAAGCCTTATTTCCCGCGCTTTTAATTGATCGAGGCAGTAAAATGTTGTTATCCATAGGCAGTTGGACCTAATTTCCAGATCTACACGACGCGGCACAACGAGTACGGGGATGTCGATTCGCGCTACCTAAACAAATGGGACGACATCTACGACAAAAACGGCTACAATGCCGTGTGCAAGAAACCGGCGAAATTTTGACAGCGCAGAACTTGATAATTTCGCTTTTTTACAGAATAAATATTTGGGAACGCAGCAAAATTTCCAAAACGGTTAGGCCAACCTAAGCGTCCAAAAAGGCAGCTATTGTTTCAGAGCCCAATTTGGCAGCAAGCCACACTTTGTGGCAAAAATTTTATTTAAAAGTAGCTCCAAGTATCTTGTACTGACTGCCGCATAGATAAAAAGAAGAACAACACCGTTTTTTGTAATGCCAATCTTTCCCCTCGAGGGCCCTAAAAAGCTCAAATTCGTGTCAGAAAAGCCGTATTTCCCCCACATTAATCTTTCGTGCCACTGATAAGCGCTTTTATTCCGGCGAGGCCCGAGCGAGCGCTTATAATTAGTCTTTTTTTCCAGGCAGCTAAATATGCTCACTTTACCTATCATATTTGTGCAAAGCTTTCTGGTTGTAATATTTTTTGGAGAAAGCCATGCTTTTTGCCCTCGGGACTCTACCCGAGATGTTTCCGGTCAGAATTGCTATTCGGTATTTACGGAAAAATTGATGAGGACGGAAGCTATGGATAATTGTCAAAAGTGGGTCGATCAACTCGTAAAAAATTCGAAAATTCACAAAGGAAGCAAAAAGTTTAGTTTTTATCAACGAGGAGCCTCAATTCACAACGCTTTTGATAATATGGCGCTGGGCGATGAAGAAGATTGGGGTGAGTGAGCTTGGTAGGCTTGAATTTGGGCTTAAGCCCCAGCTTAGGCTTAGCTTTAGGCTTCGGCATAAGCAGGCTTATGCTTGTGTTTAAGCTCGGGCCTATGCTTCGACTGACGCTTACGATTATTTATGAGTTCAGGCTGAGGCTTGGCCCAGATGTACTGTTGGTGTGTCTTTTAGGATAACATTGGTACAGTATGGCTTGGCGGGTATTGGAATGGAACTGCCATTAATTGGGATGACAAGTCGGCACCAGAATACAACAATCTTTTGAATAGTAAAAACGCTAATACTTTGTTTACGGCGTCCGCTAGATAAAGCAAATTCCGGCTACCTGGTCCTTCGTCTATCAGATGGAAAATGGGATACTGTACAACAGTGGGAGTTATGCAGTTGCTTGTATTGGTCAGGATGAGGTATGTAAACGGTTGCAGGATTTTCACATGCAAAATTCAGAAAGTGACACAACTTTTTCCATGCGACGACGAATGGCTATATTCCCAGAGCTTGAAAAATTGCTATAAGGCAAGGAAGGGATATTTAATTTGCGAGGTGTTGCTTTTATTTAGCTTATCGGCGACTTCGCCGGCTTGACCTGGTATCAAGCTCACTCGCGCTGTCAGGAGCTAGGCGCCGAGCTTGCCTCGATACATTCCGATGAGGAGAATCGAATTGTGGCGGGTAAGACATATTTTGGTAGCCCATCAACTATATTTATTATTTTGCTGTGGTTTCCGCCTGTCCGTCTGCCCGAAGCCAAATTCAAATCGGAGGGAAAATGAGCTAGAGCTTAGGTCTCTTCGGGATTTGGATAGGGCTTAGTCAGAAACCCCCAAACTGATAAAAAAATTGTAAAAAAGTTTCTGTTTAAATTATTCAATTTAACTTCAAGGGGCGCTGGTGAAACGAGTGGTGAACGGGCTTTTGAACGATTTTGGACATAATGAGCCAGGTCGCGCGCGGTTCGACGACGGGGCGAGCGCACAAGGGGTAGCCCGAAGTCCAGCCGCTTGCAGCGTAACCAGATTTCAGAAATGTCCGACACATACCTGAATATCGAAAACGGATTTTCAAATTGGACCACAGCTGCTACGTGGATTGGCGGTAAACGGGTAAGGTTTTTGGCAATCGAATCCTCATGCCAAATTTTAATTCCAGACGGGACCCGGAGATTATGATTTTGTGTGGTCCGACGGCACCAACTTCACCTATACAAATTGGGCGGCCGGCGAACCAGAAAATCGTGGTGGAAAACCCTATGTTCAGGTGAATGAAAAAGGTCTTCTAGCACATAAGCTATTTTTTAGCTGATCACCACTCGTCACGACGAGGGGCCGAGCCATCAATATTGGATCTATCTGAACAAGTGGGCCGCCATCTACGACTTAAAGGGGTACAACGCCGTCTGCAAGAAGCCGGCCAACTTTTGAAGCATAAAAATAATTCTTAATAAAACCTTATTCAGAAAAATACCTACAACGTTATTTGCAGGTCGAAATCGAAATTTTCAGGTGTATGAAAAATCACAAGTTTTTTGGACAACAATTAGCGAAACTTAAAGCTTAGCTTAGAAACGTGAAGCTAGTCGGGGCAAGCAAAAAAAGATGAAAGAAATTTGGGTCATGCCACACTAACTGTACCCCTCTGCACCTAAACTCTATTCTGGACAAACGCTCCTTGTTCATTTTCGTGCTCCCCCGCCCTCCCTATTAGATAAGAAAACCAGCACGTTTTTTGGTGCGAATCTCCGCCCGATCCACCCTAAAAAACCCTAAACTCCGGCCAGAAAAGGCGTGTTTTCTTGGACACTGTCTTATCTTTTACCGAGCGGGCCGATAAGAGCTTCTTTAAGTCTGGATGCACAACTGATCAAGCCCCAGTTTTTTGCAAGAAGCTCAATGCACCGTCTAGCGGGACTTCTGATTCTGACACTATTTTTCATAAAATCTTCCGCTTTCTGTCCATTGGATTCAATCCGGGATGCGTCGGGTCAGAATTGCTATTCAGTTTATCCTACTAAATTGATGAGGGTCGAGGCGATGAATGTGTGTAAAAAGTAGGTCATTTCAAAGACTGTAGTAGAACGGAATTTAGCTTTGAACAGAAGGGAGCTTCTCTGCAGAATGCTTTTGATAATATGGCGCTGATGGATCAAGCCATGAAGAAGATTGGGGTGAGATAGAGAGAGTGAGAGATTAAGTGAGAGAGAGAGCGAGTGAGAGAGAAAGAGAGATAGAGAGGCAGAGAGGGGGGGGGCGAGAGAGTTAAACAGACAGACGGACAGACTGACAGAGAGACCGAGAAAGCAAAACGGTATGTGTGAGTGAAGAGAGAAAGCGAGGGAGAGAGAGAGACAGAGCGAGAGAGAGCGCATGAGAGAGCGCATGAGAGAATGAGTGAGAAAGGAACAAAGCGTGTTTAGGACAGCACCGCTACAGTATGGCTTGGCGGGGATTGGAATGGAACTGCCATTAAATGGGATGAGAACACGGCAGCAAATTACAACAACCTGGTCAACAGTAAGAAAAGCGTGACCACGATTTCAATGTTCCTCTAGAAAAAGCCAATTCGGGTTATTTGGTGCTCCGATTGTCGGATGGAAAATGGGATGTGATGCAAAGTGGCAGTTTCGCAGCTGCTTGTATCGGGCAGGATAAAAACGATGGATAAAACGAGAGATCGCTTAAAACTACAAGCTTAGAAACCACATCAGGTATACCCGTGCGATGACGAACGGTTGTACTCGGAAAAGTTGAAGAATTGCTACAAGGTATCGATTTCTATAGTGCGTTAGCTCAGGTATCGTTTGCAGTTAATCGGAAATTTCTCCGGCTTCACGTGGCCGCAGGCTCGTGCTCGTTGCCAAGCCCTGCGAGCCGAGCTCACCTCGATTCATTCTTATGTAGAACAACGTGTTGTTGTAGGTAGGAAACTTTTTGCAAACTTTTAACATGATTTTTCTTTAAAGGTTTAATGGGTTAAAGGAACCAACGGAATTAAACTAAATTTTTAGCTTTTTAGACATTTTGAACACCCGCAGAAACCCTAATTTAATGCGGATACGCCAGGCATATTTGTTTTTAATCAGCAGCATTATTAGGATTCAAGGCATAAAAGGTGTTTGAAAAAGATGCAAAAGAAGTTTAAAGCAAACAAAAAGCTGATTCAAGGCAAGTTTGGTTTTCTTTTGATGTAATTCGGATTGATTTTTAAGCGCTATCACCTCTATGCAAAGCTTTCAGAACTAGCCGACACATACCTCGATATCCAGTTTCATTATGCAAATTGGACCACGGCTGCAACCTGGATCGGCGGATATCGAGTAATTGGTACTATTCAAGTTGGGGGGGGGCAAAATTTTTTTGCGGCCAATTTTCGTCATTCTCGATTATTTTGTTCAGTTTTTAATGCTGAATCGAATGCAGCTGTTTTTAAAATTTATTGTATGATAACAACGTAACAATTAGGTCAACAAAATAGCATAACAACCTTCACTCGCAGGGATAAACCTCCGTGACGTGCGACCAATAATTAAAGAACGGATCATTTCCAAATTCCTGTCGCCATGTAAACTCGGCGAGGTAGTCCTTGTAGCGTTCATTTGAGCGGACATTGATCCCATGTTTAGCCTTAAGCATCTTTTTGAAACGCATCCACATAGCCTCGATATTCTGCGTGTGGCAACCATTGTTGGGGTTAATGAAATTACGCTGGTGATTGACTTGGTAATGCTGGAAAGCGTGAGGCAGCAGCGTCACACCGTTGTATGCGCGCCACATGTCAGAATGAATAATGCTACCCGGTCGCACGTGCTTCTGGAGAAGTGGCAGAAGAGTGGCCGCATCACGTCGATCGACTAACTCCATGAAACCTAGCTGCGATCCTCTTTCGACGCCCCCAAACATCCACATTCTCTTTTGACCCGGAATCCGACCCCTGTTATACTTCCGCTTTGAGATCGCGGTTTCATCAATTTCGAAGATGATTCCCGGACCGCCGATCATGCGCGGGTGCTTGTCGAAGTATTTCACGAAGATGTCCCGAATCCATTGGCACCATTGATGGCAGGTTTGCTCCGAGATATTGCATTGCAATGCGATTTCCTATTGAGTCGAGTGCATGCGCAGATAAAGATAAGTAACGAGCATGACCATTTTTGGCGTGATGTGGCACTTTGCGAAGAAAGTGCCGGTGTAAAAGCCCAGACGACGCTGGACACCACCTCCCCGACAAGTTCCCTTGTTGCATTCCCATCGAGGTACGCCGTCGGCGTGTCCTCCGGTGTAACGCTTCATCGCCGTGATGTGACAATTGGGGCATGTACGTTTCGAATGCAAGAGGCCCAGATCTTGAAACCAATCCTCAAGTTCCTTGTCCTTCCTTCCTTCCTTGTGGATTTTCGGCATGAGCTCGAGCAGGGTTATGTCGCGTAACGCGTCGATTGAGTTGGCCATGGTGTTGACCAAATTAAATGCGAAAAGTAAACTTTGAACGCTCCACATTGCCTTTTATACCTCTATCGAGTGTCTTTTAGGCATCATTACCGTATACCGGCCAAAAACCCGATGATAAAACTACTGTTAAAAATATTGCTAAAATATTCAGAAAAGCGAATCCAATAATTTTAAAATCAGTTGCATTCGATTCAGCATTAAAAACTGAACAAAATAATCGAGAACGACGAAAATTGGCCGCAAAAAAATTTTGCCCCCCCCCAACTTGAATAGTACCGAGTAATTTTACATTTACTGGGTGTTCATAAGTTTCCACGTTCAGACGGGAGGTGGAGTGAAAGATTTTGCGTGGATGGACGGCTCCAAATTCGATTACTCGCACTGGGCTGCCACGCAGCCGGACAATACGAATGGCCAACCGCATGTTCATGTAAGTAGCTTTGATAAAAACTCAAGTCCAAAATATATCATACATTTTGGCCATTTCACATTTTTTAAACCTCCTATTTTCTTGAGCGAAAGACAGAGAGAAAGCGGGTTAGCGCGTGAGACCGATAGATACTGGGCGAGTCAGAGTGGGAGGGAGGAAAATACAGAGCGAGAGAGAGGGGGAGGGAGAGAGAGAGGGGGAGGGAGAGAGAGGGAGAGAGAGCGTGAAAGACGGAGAGAGTGAGAGAGAGAGGGAGAGTGCGAGAGAGCGAGAGATGGAGCTATTCTTTCAGATCTACACTACGAGACACAACGAATACCACGACGATGACAGTCTTTATCTGAACAAATGGGACGATATTTGGGATAATGTCCATGGCTATAATGCTATTTGCAAGAAGAAGTCGAAATTTTGAGTTTTATGAAACCTTCTTTTGTTGTTTTTTTCGCATCAATTAGTCATCGGACCCCGCCTTCCGGGTTTAGGGTCTATTCCGGAAAACAGCTTCTTATCTCTTTTTCCGCCCTTCCCGCGCATTTTCGAAAGATAAGAAGCTGACTCGTTTTTGTTGCGAATCTTTCGTGCTGACTCTAAAGTGCATACATAAATATGTTTATGAGATGCAAATACAAAAAAACAGATTGTAAAACAACTTCAAAGAATTTGGAAAATTAAAGAAATCAGTATTTAAGTGGTGGCTGCCCTTGAAGCTTTCTCAGTAATACTGCATGACGTTAGCCCTGAAAGTTAAGCACTAAAGCTACTGCGAAATGAAGCAAAAGATAATTATGGCTGCTTCAGAAATTTCTAGAAAAGCTATTAAAAATCCCACTTTTCCGATGCATTAAAAGACCCGTTTGGTTTGACATTCTTGGAGAGGGTCGGATAATAGCCAACTGATGATACGTCCTTCCGCCATTCCGTTCCGTAATCTGCCTAAAAGCAGGGATAGAAATTTTACCAATTTAAATTGAATTTAATTAATTTAAAACTAACCTCCAAAATGAGTTCCGGTTTGCATGGAACGTGAAAGACCATTCCCAGCAGCTCGGCAGTACAGAAATCCGGTTCGAAACTAAAAACGACAAAGTTTACATTTTCACGAGAATAATGAGGCTAATGTCGCTTTTAAATACGCTTAAGTTAGTCGGGAAAAGGCTTAAAGATAATTGAATAGAAATAAGTTGAATTCTGGTTAAGAAAACTGTAATTTTCGTAAAGCATCCAAGAGCCTTACCTAGGATATTCGGATCGATACTTCCCAATAACCCCTTGATCCTCTATCACCATCGTCACGTAATTCAAATTATTCACGCGATCCCGATATACGGTAAAAACATCGAGGCCAAATGTCAATTTCTTGGTGGTTACGGCAAAGGTGAGCTCGTAGCTGTCCCCAGGCTGAAAACATGAAGTTTGGGGAGGATTTTACCACTAATTCCGGCTCCAGTCTTTATAAAAAATGCGCAGACCCCGTGCTGGCAATTCACGTGATACCAAAAATGCACCTTTCCTAAAATGCGCCACAACCTGAAGCCCGGCTGCGGCCTTTTTAGCTGATCGGGCACCATTTGAAACGGGAAGTCCTCTTCGAAAATGGCGAAATCCAGGTCCATAGTATGGGGGATTAATGAGCATTCGCGAAGCCAGCCTCAATCGTGTATTTTAAAGGAGACTGACGGATTCCAAGCCTATTTTAATATTTTTTTTAAAGCGTAGTTTCGAAAACGAGATGGTGCATTGTTACAACGGAGGCAAAACGGCCGATAAGCACGTTTTTTTGGTTGTTCTGGACTCTTTCGAGTAAAACTGTGGCCGTTAGCGTCCCTTTAAAGCTTGAAAGGTTGTGAAAAACCTACCCAAAAGTGTACCACCAAGCAAAAATGGCACTGAATTGTATTCAAAAATCATATCGCGCACGTATTGGAGCCAAACGAGATCGGTTAGCTCCAAATAGCGTTCGGAGGAATTTCGGGTTATGGTAACTAAATTAACACTGAATAGGTATTTTTTTTTTTGTAAGATAATATTATGCCTAATATCCTACCTTATATAATTTGGTCGCGTTTCTTTGTGTGTTGTGTGTGTGTGTGTGTGTGTGTGTGTGTGTGTGTGTGTGTGTGTGTGTGTGTGTGTGTGTGTGTGTGTGTGTGTGTGTGTGTGTTTGTGTGTATGGATGTCACTTTCGAGGCCCGATTTGAGGGACTTCCCGTGTCCAAAATGCCTTAATTCTCCGTACCCGGGGGAATCGACCCTCCTCTTTCCGATGGCGCTTTCAGAATCCAGATAAAATACAAGTTTACAAAGTTAAAGCCGGTTTTATTGATTTTTGGGGGTCCGGGAGGGCTAATTTGCATATGTGAAAAAATACACATTTCCTCATTCTTGCCAGTTGCACTCGCGAGTTTGGTCGTCTCTTTGGATCTGCCTCTCGATGCGTTTCCTCCCCTGCCCCGGGCAGTCCTCTTGAGGCATAAAACGGGTGTTTGGCACACGCTGCCAAGCATTGCATGGCGTAGTGGTAAGCGCTTCGCCGTGCTAATCCAACCATCGGAGGTTCGATCCTCGGATATCGTAGTTGTTTTGTTTTTTGTTCGGAAAGTGCGTTTCGGAGTAGATTTCGGTGAGGACGTTATTGGAAGTTAGTCACTCAAGCCGCAGCCTATAGAATGAAGCTACCCTCTCAACCTTGCGCCGCAGGCCAAGGAATCAACCTACTGCTCAAGCTAGCGCCGCAGACTTTGGAACGACGCTGCCGCTGAAACTAGCGCCGCAGGCTAAAGGTTCAGGCCGGCCCCTGAAACTAGCGTCGCAAGCTTCGGAAGGAAATTAGCCGGGAAAGCTAGCGGCAGGCTTTAGAACGAAGCTAGCCGCACAAGCTAGCGCCGCAGGCTTTAGAACGAAGCTAGCCGCTGAAGCTTGCGCCGCAGGCTTTAGAACGAAGCTAGCCGCTCAAGCTGCGCCGCAGGCTTTAGAACGAAGCTAGCCGCTGGCTGCGCCGCAGGCTTTAGAACGAAGCTAGCCGCTCGCTAGCGCCGAGGCTTTAGAACGAAGCTAGCCGCCCCAGCTAGCGCCGCAGACTTTAGAACAAAGCTAGCCGCTGGCCGCCGCAGGCTTTAGAACGAAGCTAGCCGCTCGCTTAGCGCCGCAGGCTTTAGAACGAAGCTAGCCGCTGAAGCTGCGCCGCAGGCTTTAGAACGAAGCCAGCCGCTCGCTTAGCGCCGCAGGCTTTAGAACGAAGCTAGCCGTGAGGCTTGCGCGCAGGCTTTAGAACGAAGCCGCCGCTCGGCTAGCGCCGCAGGCTTTTAGAACGAAGCTAGCCGCTCAAGCTAGCGCCGCAGGCTTTAGAACAAGCTAGCCGCTCAGCTCGCCGCAGTTTAGAACGAAGCTAGCCGCTCGCTAGCGCCGAGGCTTAGAACGAAGCTAGCCGCTCAAGCTTGGCCGCAGGCTTTAGAACGAAGCTAGCCGCTCAAGCTAGCGCCGCAGGCTTTAGAACGAAGCTAGCCGTGAAGCTAGCGCCGCAGGCTATAGAACGAAGCTAGCCGCTCAGCGCGCAGGCTTTAGAACGAAGCTAGCCGCTCGAAGCTTGCGCCGCATGCTTTAGAACGAAGCTAGCCGCTCAAGCTAGCGCCGCAGGCTTTGGAACGAAGCTAACCTGCTCAAGCTTGCGCCGCAGGCTTTAGAACAAAGCTAGCCGCCGCTAGCGCCGCAGACTTTAGAACAAAGCTAGCCGCTGAAGCTGCGCCGCAGCTTAGAACGAAGCTAGCCGCTGAGGCTTGCGCCGCAGGCTTTAGAACGAAGCTAGCCGTCAAGCTAGCGCCGCAGGCTTTAGAACGAAGCTAGCCGTCGCTTGCGCCGCAGGCTTTGGAACGAAGCTAGCCGCTCAAGCTAGCGCCGCAGGCTTTAGAACGAAGCCAGCCGCTCGCTAGCGCCGCGGCTTTGAACGAAGCTAGCCGCTCGCTAGCGCCGAGGCTTTGAACGAAGCTAGCCGCTCAGCTAGCGCCGCAGGCTTTAGAACGAAGCTAGCCGCTAAGCTAGCGCCGGGCTTTGGAACGAAGCTAGCCGCTCAAGCTTGCGCCGCAGGCTTTAGAACGAAGCTAGCCGCTCAAGCTAGCGCCGAGGCTTTGGAACGAAGCTAGCCGTAGCTGCGCGCGGCTGAACGAAGCTAGCCGCTCAAGCTTGCGCCGCAGGCTAAAGAAGGGGGTTACCGCTCAAGCTTGCGACAGGCTTTATCTCGAAACACACCGCTCGAGCTACTAACAGTTCAATCTTGCGCCGCATGCCAATACAAAGAGGTTTGCATGGGAGATGTGTTTTTCTTTCTTCAGGGTAACTTTATGTGTAAGGGCGCTCGATTCATAGGGCCTAGACGGGGTCCAGCGGGGGAGAGTCGCGAAGCGGCTCCTCCCCCGCTGGTCACCAAAATAATAAAAATAAAAAATAGCAGAATCAAGAAAACCTTACGATTCAAGCACTCCAATTTCCGCGAATAGCCCCATAGCCGATTGGTGAATGTTTGATTTTTTGGGACGAAATTGGTGCCATTTTTCACAAATAAACTTCTAAAAAATGCATAGTTTATCGCGTTTTTATCTTAATATTATTTAACCTGAAATCCATGTTTTTGAAATGGCTCACCTGGGCATTAGTCTGATCTTCTTCGTCCCATCGTTTAAGGTTTCGTAAATTTCGAAGAAGTCCTTGGCCGGATCGTCCTTGTATGTCACTAAATTCTTAAATGTGTGTCATTTAAAACTTGTAAAACTATTTTAAATTTAATTTGATGTAAAAATCACGATTTCCCGCCCCATACTGCAACTCAGTGGCAAAAATAGCTTTTGGAAGTTCGTCACGACTCGACGGAGCCGGGGAATCTGAAAGAAGTTGCAAAAATCTGTCAAATAAATCGAAGCTTACCTATAATTAGTAGATTTCCTGGAGGGATCGATGGCTTAACAGTTGTTTTTGGGGCTTCCCGACGTTTATCCGGTGGTGGATCTTCCTCGACGACGTCTGAACGAAATGTAAAATGCCATTTCGGGGCGACCAAATTCTCTGTTATGTTTTCTACGCTATCAGCGAGGTATCACCAAATTCTGAATTAACATAATACTAATGCTATTTAATATTTATATACAAGCGGATATGAAATAAAAATTTGCTAAGAAAAAATCAAACTGAAGACGAACTAACCAAAAATTATGGAGTCATCAAAACGATCGATCGAAGGCCTATCGGCTCCTGAAAATAATTTTAATTACCGTTAGACCCTCAAGTGTTAAATTGGGTTCCTTTTTAATATTTCCTATACAATTTAAGCCATTTCAGGAAGATTAATACGGTATTTCCAGCAAGGAAACCGTGAATAATTCCAAACACAATAAATTCCGCCAAAACCCCCACCTGTATCTGCTTCTTTTCTTAATCGTATGACAACCTCCGTTCTTCGATTATCCCTTATCAAAATTAGAAATAAGATGAAAATCCAGCATACAAGAATTATATAAAATTCGCGGGTTTTCATCAGACGGTTTAGCTGAAAATCGAAGCGGTCAGAGAGAGCCGATTCTGACAAAATGGCGGCTTAGTATTCAACTGCTCCGGTTTAGTCTCCGTTCTTTTCTAGTTCCATAGTACGTATTAGGCTATAGAAAACTATACCTGATTCTTCAAGATTCGCATCATTTCCGGTTTTTAAGACAGAACGGATATAATAAGTTGAGAACAACGAATGGTGTATCCTGGAAACAAAAGCAGCCCGGACAGGAATGACCAGTCATATCGAATGGAATTAATTTTTCTGCAATTTCGAGCGCCCCTTCCTGCTGATTTTTCTATGAACTCTGCCCTGCATCCAGCGCCCGATGAACGGCGTGTACAACATTTTTCAACTCTTTTTAGGTGGTTCTCCCTTTTGTTGGTTCAGTTGGGTAACCGCATGGCAATATCCGTCATTTCCTGACCTGCAGGCTTCGGCCTGAAACTGAAACTGAAACTTAAAATAAGTTATTTCCACAAACGCATGTTATATAGATATTGAAAAAGCGACGACCTGATCCCAATTATCGATCGAATGGGGGATTATAGAGGGAAGACCATGCACAAAAATTAAATAAGATCCGGAATGAGAACAAGAGAGCGAAAGAGCGAGAGAGAGACAGAGATAGACAGAGGGCGAGAGAGAGAAAGAGAGAGAGAGAGAAAGAGAGAGAGAAAGAGTGAGTGAGGGAGATGGGGGAAGGAGGGGAGAACGCGATGAAACCATACAATTTCCATCGTTCGACCAATTC